GACATCCGTCATTCTCAGCAAGCTTGATGCCCCAGCACTGGGGGCTCCTCAGGGTTATTGTGAATCAGAATCTACCCCATTTTGAATCAGAATCTGCATGGTCCTTACCCAGCACTTTGAACTGGATCTGAGCACACTTTTTCATGTCAGTTTTGTCCACCCACGACCAGATGTCACCAGCTTCCACTGATGTCACACACGGAGCTGCTGGGCTCCTTTGCCAGCACCAGCAGGCTCCTGTTGGCAAATGCTTCACTTTCAGAGCTAGCAAGAAGGAAATCAGTTATAGTTGCATGGAGGCTGAAACATACCATTCAAAGTTCTGCTGAATGTGGAATTCCCCTTCCAGAGCATCCTTTCTAAGCCTGCCATGAACTGTGTCCTCCTCCCCCTTCCCAATCCCTCTTCCTTTGATTTTAAGAACTAGCCACTGTAACTGAAGGGCAGGCAGAAGGTACCGAGAGGTTTGCATAATATTTAATGCAACCAGGAGTGAAGGAAGGGCCACACAACTGAAACAGCTTTCAAATCAAGGATCCCTTCACTTAAAAGAAGAGCGAGCGACATAAAGATCAATGACGAAGGAAAAAGGACTTTGTATAATAGGATTGCATGTTTTCCTTGTGTCCATCCTTAAATTTTGCCAGCTCTCTCAAAGTCCCACCACCAGGGAGAGGAAGACAGGAAAGCAGGGGGAATACACACACGTACAAAAACTCTGACCTAACTTTACAAGCCGTAATTCTTCTAGTCTCTCCCTCAAGTTTATTATTACCATTGCTTCCCTCCAGTTTTAGGCCAGCATTAACCATCTACTTCAATGGAGTTTTATTAGCATAGAAGAGAGGGGGCAAATCAGGCCCTCACACTGAGGTGTTAGCACCTCACTAAACTCCCCAATCCAGGATGAGGTGGGGAGCCACACACCATAGGCTGCCCATTCAATTCTGCATGTTCCCAAACCTGATTAGCACAGAAAATGCCAGAAGAGCAAGTAACATGTTTCCCATGACCAGCCATATACGTGTAACACCAAGTCAGGGTTCACTTCAATGCATTATACCAGTTTATCAAGGATGGGTATGGTAAGGAAGACAGAGGCTGGCATCAGCTACTTTTAAGCTTTATCCTTCCTCCTCTTCCGAAACAGGGCATTGCGTGTTTGGGTGCATGCACGGTTGTGCAAACAGCAAAGGCTCATCTATAAAGATCTGTTATGGTTTAAAATTGCGGAGGGCAACTTTCAGTCTAGTCCAGCTGGTCAAACAACTGCAGAGCCCAACAGCAGCAAACCCTTTAAATACATGCTTTCTCCCCCTCTGCCTCCATCTCTCTCTCTCTCACTAATCACTTAGGAGGGAGATAGGAAGATTAGCAAAGGAAAAAAATAGCCAAAGCTTCAGATAACCCTTTAGGACCATAATATCAGACTATGTGACAGGGGCAAAAGGTTAATACAGCTGTATTTTCAGGAATCTAAGAGACGATCATGATATAAGGTTTTGGGAGAGAGGGGATAAGATGCTGACAGGAAGAGGATGAGAATGACATGGGCATAAAGACAAAAAATATATTTGTAGACCTTTGGATGGTTTTATGATCACTTGGAGTACCCAGGAAGAGATTAACTGCAGAAATAGAATAGAGTTTTATTACCACCCAGACACTGCAATTTTTGGTGGGGTATTTTGTTGTTATCAGGACAGATTTTATGGAGAAAGCATCTGGAGAGATCAAGGGTTCATTCAGCAAAGTGAAGCATAAAGGTGGGGACCAAAACAATGAGAGATGGATACCTTTAAGAGTCACAGCATTTTAAAGATCTGGGGGGAGGGAATAAAAATAAAAGTCACTTTCATTTCAAGACAATGTCATCCTCATCCCATCTACATCTCCAAACGGTTGCTATGGGGTTTTTTAGAGGAGAAAGAATGAGGGGGGTGGGTCATAATCAATCATCTCAGAAGAGCATTGCTTCTTACAGAGAAAGATCTGGATTTTGACTGTGTCCCTAAGAAAATTGCGGACTGCAGAGCTGCTGCCATGCAGGGCAGTGAGGAAGCAGGCAGATCAGAGGCAGCAGCTGGGGATGGAAACGCCTATTAAATCCTTTAGACAACAGATGGGCGAAGCTCGCCTGGGTTTAAAACACACACACACACACACACACACACACACAAAATGCATCATGTTTTATTGTCCCACTATAATGAACAACACTTAACACCCACAAATCCAAAGCGGCCTCCCCTCACCCCCAAATTATAACCTGGAGTATCAACACACTTTTGGGGTTCTCCCAACCAAACCAATTTGCCAGACAGGCCCCTTTGCTCACTACACCTGGTACTAAAAAAAGAAATTTAAAAAAAATGGGAAAGGCTCTTGGGTTTTCTCTTTTATTTTAAAATATTCTTCTTCCCAATTACTGCTCCCTGCCCTTGAAGTGAATACAAGCAACAGCGAGTCCAGATCTTGAATGCATTTAAGGGATCTAATTATGTCATGTAGGACAGAAGCACCTGCTCTCTTCTAATTCCCTCCTTTTAATATATCTGGCCATTGTTCCTTTCAGACAAATCTGCTGGGGGCCAGTTGGACAACCAGGAGCTTTTAAATGCCCCAAACACCCAACAGTGAATTCTGCTGACAATCATTTTCTTTTACATAAAATATAATAATAATTGGACTAAACCACAAAAAAAAAAAAAATTAAATCTACCCATCCATATTTTCTAAATAGTCACAGCAGCCAGTACCACAGACTGTGGTGTGTGTGTATATATATATATTCTTCCCCCACCAACTGCACCTTAAGGACTACACCCTTTTCAATCATGATGTCATGAAATACTGCTGGTGACTCCCCCGCTACCACCACCACCACCTTTTCTCCACTATGCCCTGTGCACCTCTCATTTCAATTTAATGCCATTAAAAAGAGAAGGAAGGGAAGTGGTGCAGGGATGTAATTGACATGAAATTCACCAACAGCAGACACCATCCCCCTTTTCCTCTGCATGCACTTTGACTGTCATCAGAACAACACCCCTTCATGGGAGGGATGCACAGGCAAAGCAACACAGTGTATTTGAAAATCAGCAAGCAGAAAAGCTCACCAAGGCAAAAATCTCCTATAAAGATTATTTCCACTGCAACAGCAAAAGTGAGGGAAACAACCCCCCCCCAACCTCCACATCTCCTGTCCCCACCAGCTCAAGAGCTGCTCCAGCATCTTTTCCCTACTGCAGCTGCTGCAAAGGAACTAACCTGTCTGTCCTTTGCCCAGGGTTTTCTCCAGACGATAGGGTCCAACATACTGGGCATGCTGAGCTCCGCTGCCTTCTTTCCCTGTTGATGTCATTTCTACCTGGCTCTGTAATTCTGCAATGTGTGTACGGCGGGGAGCTGGGATTGCTCTCTGCAGGTCTTTAAATTCCCACTTTGCAGCTATGCAAGCAAAGCACCCTCTCTCTCCCTCTTTGCTGCTTTAGTCCACTTGGCTGCAGGTTTTCTCTTCCTCCTTTTCTTTCTTGCTCTCTCTCTCTCTCTGGATCTGTCTGTCTGCAAAACTGATGGACAGAGCAGTTATTACCAGTGTTCGGGGAGGGGAGGGGAGGGGAGGGGGGCGATCTAGGATCCAAGCCCAAGGACCATGGTGCTGGTGATCTGAGCTCCGCACGCCTTGTTCTCTCCAGGAGCTGTTCAAGGGAGAGCTAGAGCTAGAGCAGCGGAAGAGCTGGTGCTGGGAGGTCTGAGTGACATTGCAACTAGCCAATCCTCTGCAACACCTCAGCTTCCACCTCCTTCTCCCCTCCTCCTCCTATTACCTTTTCTTTTCCATCAGTAGCAGCAGCAGTTGCTGTCTCTCTCTGCTACAGACCGTCCTAATCAATAGGCAAGAGCAATAAACCTATGGGTATCAGGGCTGATAAGGCAGCACTCAAACATCACTCTCTATTGTGCTATTTTAATAATCATCTGCATGCCCATGGTTCCCCCCCCCACCAACCTCCCAAGTTATTCCCCACTAGGCAGCTGCCACTCTAGTTTGCCCTCTGCAAGCTGCATGAGAGTTATTCCGAGGCTCTGGCATTAAATAAGAGGAAAGAAATCCATCTTGGATGATGAGCTTGTAAGATTTACGGGTGCTGCTTCCAAAGGAAGCACATCCTTTTTCTGCTGTTCCATAAGGAGACTATTTCAGAGCCGATGGCTTATGAAAAACAGGGTTTAATCCTTCTCCAATTGAACTCAGTGGGAGATTGGTTTTCAAATTCAATGACAGCAAATAGCTTTGGGGTCCTGGGATGTATAGACCAAAAAAAAAAAAAAAAAAGAGAGAGAAAGACACAACTAGTGGCTTAATTAGAAGTCACAGCAAAAAGGCCAAGGATTACTGTAATACACTTAGAAACTAGACTTACCCTCTCAATACTGCAAGTGGAGTCTAGGACTGTGACACACTGGGCACACTGGGTCTACATGTTCACGCAACTGTGCAATAACCATTGGTACTGCGAGTCCTACTGCGCCATACAGGTTGTTTTCTACCCTACTGTGCAGTAGCTCATTGCTACTACGCAGTAGTGGCAGCATCATAGTTTGTGCCTACTGATGCTATGTCGCTGTAGCGTCCCCATGTAGACACATCCACTGAGTATATGTTAGACAGAAAGCTTTATACTACTTTTTTTCCCCTATGACATCTGTTCTGCAAAGACAATTCATCCAGGCATTTAAGCATTTAGGAACAGGAAAAAAATCCCACTGCAATCAACCACAATACACAGATGCTTCAAAGCAGGCACATACTTATGCACCTTATTTTCTCTAGGTCATTTATATGCACTCTGTCAAGCTAATATCTTTCACTACTAGCTAATTTCCATCCTGAGCCTTTTGGATAGGGCAGGACATAAATCTAAAAAAGAAATAACTCCATAATGACTTGTGCTTCATAAGTAGGTACAATCCTGTCCTATCACATTCCCAATTACCTGGTGCTTGTGACGTCCTCCTCTGGGTTGCACGCAGAGGCATTGTGCACAACAATTCCTCAAACACGTAGGAAGCTCTTGGGGAACCTGCAAAGAGAAGAAAGAGTAAAGAGAAGAAAATGTAAAAGAGATTTCCACTAGCTATATCCTCATCCACTGCTCATGGAGATAGAATTCTTTTTAAACTAACTGTGTTGCAACATAACCTCTAGAGGCAAAATTGACACAGTCATCCAGCTTCTATTTTAACTTGTATAAAGAGGCACAGTCCTAGGACTGGCTTGACACGAACTGAGCAATATTGTCCAAAGACTTGCAGAAGAGCCTCAGTGGTTGGTTTGGGGGGATGAGACGAAAGTGGGGGGTGATGAAGGAGTGAAAAAAAAATGAGACACCATGAGACCTGTCCTTTCGGATTCAACACCCAACAAGTTTCTAAAGTAATTTCTTCTCTCCTTAGAAAATTAAACCCCAGCAGCTATTTTGACCTGGTACTATCTCTCTGTTCACAGTGCCTTCAGAAACCATGCTGATTTTCCACCCAGCTCAGGTTCTCCACTCCTCTCCACACATCATACCACGTGGATTCTCCCTAGGTTTTCCTACTGCCCATAAACTCTTCCAGGGTCTCCCCGCTTCCAGGGCACTCCCAAACTGCCTTTTCTTCCCCTTACCCACAGATACCAGTCTCCCCATTACAAGAATTCCCTCACTTGTTCCCAGTCTCCAAACTCACCTCATTTGCTCTAGTCCAAGCCCCTGACTTCTTCCCAAAAAGGCTCCTGCCAGCATCTGTCCTCCTCCCTGTCTCTTGCTGGATGTACCCCAATAACTGCTGCCCCTCATCCCAACCACTATGCTATGTTCTGTTGTTTCTGTCTCTCCAACAGCTGTACACCATTTCTCCCATCCCAGGGTCTCCCATAACTCCTTCTTCTGGTTCCTGCCCCCTATAGGCATGCCCCATACCTGTTCCTTGCCCCACCTCCATATCTGTGCCCTCTGGCTTCTCTCCTCTACCTGTGGAATGACACTGAAAGATTGAGTAGGGGAGAGACTGCGCCAGCGAGGGCAGCTCCTTCCTGTGCCAGGACCAGCCTCCTGCTGCCCAAATCCTTCAGACCTAGCACAGGTGCCTGCTCCAACCAGGGGTGCAGGACAAGGAAGTATAGCAGACTCTGCAAACAGGAATTTGCTATCACACACGCACTCCCCACTTCCTTTTGAGCCCAACAGTTGAACAGGGGTGAGGAGGAATGGGTGTTTCTCCCACATAACCTCCTGCTCTTTGCTTTTTTCCCTGTTCCTTCCCTTCCTATCATGCCCACCAAGAATTGTGAGCAGGGACAGGGGACAGCATTATTGTCTCCTCCAAGATTCAAGTGTATGGGACTAGCATTAGGCTTGTGGATTCTGTTGTGGACTGCATTGCTTTTACCTCATAACGGCTTGAGCTATTAATTTCTGACATGCACAACTGTCATTCCAGAATCAGGTCCCAGGATGTAAGAAAAGCTGCATTATACTCTGTGCATTAACAAAACAAGAACCTATTACAGCTTTTAGTCAATACCTAATACACACTGAAACCATCAATAGTGCCAAATGCAAGCATTCAAAAATTATGACTCAACCCAAAATAGCAGGAGGGTTTGAATATAGTCTCCTGAGCACTCGAAACATTTCTTTAACTGCTTGACCTAGAGGACTGTGTTCTAGTAAACTCATCACCTCTAATGTGGAACTGCCAATATAGATAGGGAGAAAGACCTGTCCTTTCCTAGCTGGGTTAACACTCAGCTACAAGGAAGTGTTAATTAACATATGCTGCACAGCTGTAGGGGGATTGCCTCTATTGGCAAGATTCTCAACTGGTGTAAATTGGCATAGCAACTCTGATTTTAATCCAAATAAAACCATTTAACAGCAGCTAAAAGCTGCCCCCCTGTTTTCAATGTGTTACACCTTAATAATGTGTCTTCCCACCCACTTTTAAAATATTGTCTGTAAGAAAGTAGTAGATAAATTAAAAATGAAGCATTCTGGGTTTGATTTCCGGAAGAATTTTTGTGCAGCATAAATGGCCAATTATTTGTCTACATTGCCATTGGCATGTCCAGGTGTATTCAGGTTATCTACACCATATTAACAGCAAGGCACAGGAAAACAAACGGGTATGAAAACCTACAGCTTTTGAATATTGTACCCTTAAAGTCTCAATAGCATCCAGTTCTAAACTATAACTATGGGCAGAGAGACCATATATATTTGCTTTGAAGTGAAGATCAGAATGAAAGGAAAAGCTGAGAAACTGGTCGTTATTATTTGTGTACATTCCTATTGATATGGATCCCAATTTATTCCTGGTTAGGCTGTGTACTTCATTGTGCACACTGGTGCTAATCCACACTGTTCATTACAGGGTGTCAATATTCCAAGAATCAACACTATGTCTGGAGTAGTGGTGACAGCTTGTTAAGGTTCACACATTTGACTATGAATAGATGAAAGAAAGTCTCCACCAGAACTCCAGTTAATGTGGGAAAAAAAAACCCTCAAAGCCCTCAGGATCCATTTAGGTATTTTGTTTCCACTGGAGGTATGTAGTTTTCTACTGCTCAGACTATACAATAGCCTTGGACAGTCTTCAAAATCTCTTTTTGAAAAATGTTTGGACACCTCTGGATTTTTGAATAATCAAACAGTTGTTTATTTCATTTGTTCATATTCAGTTAAATCCTATTTATCTGCACCCCTTTGATCTGAAACACACTTCTTTGAATCTAGGTTATGTCCCTCTGGTGTGAATTACTTATACAATAACTCTTTCAATTATTTGAAGCCCTGTTTATCCAAATGGTTTGATGTCCCAGAAACATTTTGAATAAACAAGGCTATGCTGTCATTGGATGTATCAGATATCTTTGGGGATGCATATAGAATGATTTCCTTGACCTTATTCTATATCATCCTCTGCTAATATAAACAGGCAATATAAACTAAAGAGTATAGTTAATTTATTGGCTAATTAAGCATGGTATTGTCTTCAGTGCATTGTTTTGTATCCCCATTAATGCTTTGTTTTAGTTTTCTTTTTCTGTTTAAAACAGCAAATCCTGAGTAGCTCACTCAAGAAGAACCTCTAGAGAAGCCGGTACAAATGTTTCCTAAGAATTAAGTAAAAAAGAGAAAGTATCTCAGATTCTGGGTCAAGTACTACCATACTTCTGAAATATAGCATAGCTGACCTTCAGGGAGCAAAATCCAGGATATATTCCTGGATGCTTCACAAACTTCCGGAACTGCAAGTTGATGCTAAAACAGATTTAGAAAAGACAAGGCTGACAGAGACAGTAATGCCTAGCCTTACTTCCCTACCTATGTTCCCCTTGTGGGATGAGGTCATCTCTCTGATTCAGTTAACTACAAGGCATGGTAGGTAAGTAAAGGAGACCGAGTGTGGGACCAGCTGGAGACCAAACTCCAGTCATCCACCAGCATTGCTCTGTAACAGATGCACTAACTGTTCTGAGTGCAGCACTACAAGAACATGGTGCCAGGCAGTATTGCTCTGTGTCCTCTCAGCAAGCACAGCAGGATGCTACCCAGTACAATATGGGACCAGTTTCTGCAAATTCAGGACTTAAGTCCTGTTTCAAGGAGTCTCTGGGGATACTGGGACACAAACCTGAAATTTGAGACTGTGATAGAAAATGTCAGGCAATTGTTCACTTTACATGCAAGGAAGCATTCACACAAACCATGTGAAATTGTGTGGTTTCATTTGAGCTGCTGAAACCCCTACCAGTAGAGCACTGTACAAGCATTCATTTTTCAGGACAGGAGACATACAGACAGCCTGTGCTGGCAACAACCTGCAGCCCAGGGGCCCCTGTGTACACATCCTGGCATGCTTGGTGGGCTGCTTGGGCTGCCAGAGATTGACAAAAAGCAGCTGAACATATAGAGCAGCACTAAATGGTTGGCAGCCATAGGAGACCACCTTCCCTCCCACCCCCTTTCACAACAGTCTCTGGGGATAGTGGGGGACAAACCTGAAATTTGAGACTGTGCTAGAAAATGGCCTCTCTCCCTTCCTCCCTTCTCCAAGGCTTCCAGAGAAGAGATCTGGAGTGTAGCCCCTCTCTCTTGTTAGTTGCAAATATATAACTTTCTGTACCTGCACCCTGCCATTGATTCCTGCCTCTCACATGCAAACCCGTGGACCAAGAGTTGCACCAAGTCCTTATCATTGCCCTACACAACTCTTGCCAGAGGCTTTGGGGGATTTCATGTGCTTGTCAGAAATTGACCCGTAAGTTGCTCATGCCCATAAGTTGCTTCCTGCACAGGGCTCAGAAGCCTGAACTACCACAGCGGGCCACTTACCAGACCCTATGACCACCAAGTATCCTGGATGCAGCCAACTACTTCCACAACAAAGACTAGGTCCTCCTGGATACCTTGTTGTCTGTGTTGCTGTGGGAGAAACTCCAGATCATTGAACGGTGCTTCAGCACCCATGAGACAAGCAGTGACTGGTGGGATTACATTGTCCTGAGCACCTGGGATGGCAGGCAGCGGCTGCAGATCTTCTGCAGGTGTTGGACCACATGGACATTGTCAAGCTGGCCCCTCATATGGAGCAGTAGAATGTCAATGTAGCCCACGCCAGGTTAGCACCAGCTTCTACTTGGCGGCCTTCCCCAGCTGTGTGTGGAGCATCAACGTTGCACACATCCACAGCTTCTGACTTCCCAAATGCTCCATGGAGTTCATCAATGGCAAGAACTTATTCTCTGTTGTGCTGCAGGGATTTTGAGGACCACTACTGCCACTTAATTCCCAGCTTTGGGTGGGGAAGCAGTGCCTGCAACTCTACCCTCCCCCAGTTGATAGAGAACAGACAGTATGTCCCTGTGGCCCCTAGCATCAAGGTTAGTGGAGTCCTTATCTCACCCCTCATCACTGGGGACCAGGCCTACCCTCTCCTCCCTTGGCTTGTGACACATGGACTGCAGGAAGAAGCACTTCAACCACTGCCTCAGCAGGTCGCATGTGACCATTGAGCATGGCTTCACCCACCTCATGGTTCACTGGAGGGCTCTGGCTATATGCCTCAACACACCTGAAGAGAACTTGCTACACTTCAATCCCTTCTGCCTGTGTCTAATCTGTGAGGTTAGTGGGGAAATAGTTCATGAGGCCTGGGAGGTACAGCATGACAACAAAGCATGGTGCTCAGATGCAATCCATGGCATGCCTTTGCAAGGCATCCATGCCCAGGGTACACCAGCCAGCAGAGAATCCTGGTCAGGAGAGCCCTGGCAGATTATCCCCTAGTACACTAGGATATGGGGTAGCACTTGGAGGACTAGGGTGGGTAAGGCTCAGTGGGACTGGAAACTCTAACCAACCAAATGCCAGTCTTGGGTGGGAGAACTGTACACCAAGCTGCTCCTGTCCAGTTTCACCATCCGCAGTGTTGATGGAACCACTCTTCCCTGGGGCATTGCAAGGGGGCTGGGGTCAAGGAAGCCCTGCCCAGCTGAACACTGCCTTGTATTCTCCCATGTCCAGACAAGGCAGGAACAAATCATGCCTCAGTTTACCTTTTTCAGTAGCAAAATACAAGTTTCTTTAATAAAAACCATTGAACATTAAACTGTCCCTCTTCCCTTTGTGCAAAACTACAAAAGTAATGTGTTGGCAGGGAAGGGTGAGATAACTTGGAAGGGTGGGTATGATAGGAAACCAAGAGCATGCCAATGGGGCAGCAGTCTTCATAAAAAGCAAGAAGCGACTTGGGCGGGGAGAGAGGGGAGGCTACACATCCCAATGCCCTAAGTTCCTGGCTCCAGACTGAAGACTACGCACATCTCAGTGTAGGTGGAGATCAAGTAAGTAACCCTTTGTCCCATACATCTGGGGGTACAGCAAGAGTTGGCTCCATTGCTGGATGCTTTACACTCCAAAATAGGGGTTGCCAGATCTCTCTCCACTCTGGGGCTGGAGCAGT